TTTTTTTTTTTTTTTCTTCTGCTTGACTCATTTGATTTGCCTGTCTGCGTCTGTTAGCAGAGAGGTAATCGAGGAAACGGTGACTTTTTGAAGTCTAAAATGGTGTAGGTCTATTTACCGAGACGACGGAGCTGATGAATGTGTGCTTACGTGTGTGACAAAATATACACCTACTCAAAACTGAAACTACATTTTTGTTTACTTTTATTAAGTTTTGTTTTTTTTTTTGTGCCATGAAATTAAAAAAAACTTCCATTTATTTATTTGACCAGAATCTGGGGGTTTGTATAAGGCCATAGAGTCATCAATGGACAGCAGTATTAGCATTTTCAGTGTTGAGCAGTAGACATCATAAAAATTACCAGTAACATCGTCATCATTACCACGTATAAAGTCTCAATATCTCGTAGTTTTAATTGTATTTAGACCGGCTGTTTAGTATGGTAGCATTTGATTAAGTCATTTAGGTATTGCTCCCTTACTTTTCTTTTGTCTTTGTTGCTGTTGCTAGCTGTTTTAATATATTAATTTTTATTTTTAAAGTGATAATTCAGAGAACTTCGTCTGCGCAGTTTTATAGATTAATGGCATTAAGCGAAAAAAGATTATTAGATTGAATGAACTTTATTGGCTCATTGTGAAATCGATGTTTTTTGATATGATTCATGCTTTTCATTTTTTAGTTTTTTTTTTTATCTGTTAAGCATTAATCAGCTTTTGGACGTCTTTGACGCAAGTCTTTTACTTATGACTTTTTAATCTCATCACCAAATAGCTTGTCACGTATTTTCATAAATGTGCTGGTCGCTTCTTTCAGTTGTTCATTTAATTAACTTTCGGTGATTCTCCTATTCCACTTTTTTTTTGCAGAAAATAGCGATTTAAAAGTTTGGATTGTCTCGCAAAATTTTAGAAATATGCGCAGGTGTAGGAAAGGCAGCAAAAGTGTCGTAAGGTACGATTTTTCTTTTTCTAAAACAATTTTTACTTCACTTTATCCTTTTTTTTTTCTCATTTTTTATTTTGCTAGTTTTTTCTAGCACTTTATATCTATTTTTTTGTCAGGAACGAGAGAGGACTCACTGAATTTGCGCCTTTTTTTAATTGTTGAAGGAGTTTTATTCTTAGTTTTTTAATCAGTCAAAATCTATATTTTCTTGTTCTTTTAAGTTTCGTTATCGATATTTACTGGTAACTCCCGCACTTTTGTATCTTTATAGACCATCATTTAAGTAGTTTAAATTCTCTATGCTTGTAGCTTCTTTAAACTTTATAACATCTGACGTGATGACTTCAGACGAGCACAAAGACTTTGTTTCTGTTTCGCAACAGCTGTAAGTGATGACGAACAGGCATTTGATGAACCATATAATGGTGAAACTGGAGATAACCAATTAGCATTAAC